ACCACTTATAATGTCGTCATCTTACGTGTTGACTTGATATTTAACGTACCTGATAACGTCATCTCATTGCTCACTTGATAATTTACAGGCCTCTGATGATGATGTCGTCCTAATGGAGGTATTTGTTCAATGTAACCATCGTTACTTTGTATACTGGGCGGCTGCTGAGTACGCGTACAAGGGGCTCCTCTTAGCTTTTGGTACGTTTCTTGCCTGGGAAACACGGAACATCCATGTGCCTATTCTCAACGACTCCGTATACATTGGGTTTTGCGTGTACAACATTGTGGTAGTGTGTGCTATCGGTGTACCCACACATCACATCCTCATGTTGGAGCAGTCCCTCCTCAAATACATTCTTCAAAATAGCCTCACCATCTTCTGCACCTCTCTAGTTCTCTGTATCCTCTTTATACCAAAGGCAAGTATGGTGCCTTGTTCAAGGTATTGTTAATTCACCGCATCAGGCAAACACCATGAATTAATGAATTTCTTCATATATTGAAGACAGTTTGATATATGCAAAGAAACCGCTAAATCAATAACAAAATTAAAATAATCAATAATAAATGAAATTGAAATAATAAATTAAAAACCTTGCTTTAATCACAGTGGTTCATACTCGAGATTTATTGAACAATGTGTTTTTAATGAATTTCATGTAAACATGTTGATGTTAATGACGAATTTTCCAATGCTATGTTTTAATGTAGTGGAAGTAGAAACTTTGTTTGTTGACGATCCTAATCACTCAACTTTTGTTTAGTATCCTATGTTGACTTGAGTGTCCTGTTGTAGATTTCTCTACGAAATCAGACGGATAACATCAGATTTGTGCCGACGTTAAAGGGGCAGTCTGGAAATAACAACTCCACTGTATCTCGCTCCACTTGTATGTCGGCAGTAACCCAAAGTAAGTTCGTTCAGGCTATTAGTGGTGGAAAAACGAAAATGTGGATGATAACCTGTCTTGACGTTTGCGTCAGCTAAATGTGAAAAAGCATGGTAGAGTGAATATCTCAGTAACCACTACAATATTTTCTAATTAGTTAGTTTTATAAGAAATGGCATTTTCGATATTTTGCTTAACTTAACAATTATTATTCTAGATGTCAATTTTGGATAATCCTAGCACCAATATGCACGGTTTAAAGAAAATGCAAACATTTGAATATTACACTACTCATGTGTGTTAGGGATGACTTGAAAAAAGGGCTTTTGCGTAAGACAGATGGACTTAGTGTGCAACATTTTAAGACAAGAGGCCCATGGGCCTTAACGGTCAGCTAATGTATGTAAAAACTGATACTATCGATGTTGCCAAATGAAAAAGAAATCATTTT